AATGTTTTTTGTTGGATAAATATTTATGATGACGTGGACAGGTTAAAAGGGCTTCATTTGCCCCTTCTAATAGTAGTTGATAACCAAGGAAAATATTAAAAGGGTCATTAGAGTGGTCGAACTTTGTGACATGGGAGTCAAAGGAAAGGATTTTAATCAATTGTCTAGAACGAATCAATGTACATAAACTGATTTCACAGTTTTTATAAAAGCCACAGGGGTCAACTGACTGACCCCCTTTCAACACTATGTAGCTCCGCCACTGGATCCAGGGAAAAATATTTTAGCTTTTTTTTGGTTATTATTGCAATTATGTTACTTTTAAAGAATCTTTTTTTTGTTAATTTGTAAAGAAAAAATGAATGCTATTTAGATTCAGCACATGCTAGTGCATAGAAACCGAGAGCCGCCCTCGTAGAAATAGAATTGTATATTTGCTTGTAAACTCATGAACTGTATATAGTTTTAGCAACAAAAAAAAAAATCATGAACTATAAGTATAACATGTATTAGTTACTTCGATGCAATTATGAGAAGATGATATTTCGAATTTGACATTATTACAGTGACCGACATAACGTGAACGACACGTGACAGAGACATAATTTTTTATTTTATTTTATGTTATTTAATCTACAAACTGGGCCAGTTTATTGAGACATCTCCTCTGGCCCCAAATATCAAAAGACAAATCTCTTATGAGACAACTCAACTAGATTTCACGTCTTTTCTTGAGAGTGCCTTTCCACCGCAAATAACTGAGCTATCTAGGGTTCAAAACTTAGGGGAAGTCACTTCAACATAAGCCTTACCAAAGTAAAGAGATTGGGCTCCTATAGCTATAGTTGGAGCTTTTACAAACATGTTTAGAGTAGGCAATTCCAGTTCAAGTTTCAGCTTGATAACTGCAGCCGTGTTTGTCCTTATTCGAAAATATCTTTTTTTTTTCTGGGAACATGGTTAACCAAAAATTATTATGTTTGCGATTCTTCATCCACCAATACAGAAAATGCTCAAGTTTTCCATTCTTATATGAGGTCGGAAATTTTACTAGCAAGAGGTCGGCATGAAGTGATTCATCATGCTCAAACATGAGTCGATCGTTCGTTAGGGACGGTTTATAGATCACAAACATTCTCTTTTCATTTATTCAGTACGAAAATATTAAATTGTCTTTCTAGTGAGTGAAAAAAAATCGAAAAAGAGAAAAATTTCGATGATTAGATTGGATAGGGGTTGGTTTGAATTTTGGTGGTTTGGTTTTTGATTTACGGTTTGTGATTTTAATTTTAATTACATAAAAAAATAATTTTTAAAAAATCCTCCCAAAATCGTTTCCAAAATCATCGAAATTGCTCTCAGCTCGTCTTCTCTTTCTCTTCTCCTCCAGCTAGTTTGTCATTGACGTCGATATCTTCTCCGGCGATACACTCGGACTTCAACGTTTCCACCGACGAGAATTTCTACAGAGCAGGTTAGTTCTTTTCTTCTCCGTGAACTGCATTATCTAGAAATTAAATAGAGGGCTTGTAATTGGATTTGTTGAAACACCATTGGTTCTGAGTTTGTTTGGTTGATTTGTATATGAAATTGACCTCTATACAATGCAAAAATGTGGTTGAATGTATGGGTTGAATTGTCCTCTTGTCTCAGTTGTTGGTATACTGAGTTAAACTTGGTATAACTGTAGATAACTTAATAAAATTACGAACAACTAGTATAACTGTATAAAATTCAGTATAACTGAGAGAAACTAGTACAATTGAAACTTTATTCTGTTGTTTTTGTAGGATACAATGGCGAAACACATGTGCATACATTTCAAATTCAAACGTTGCATTTATAGTGTAACCTTGAAGACAACAGTGGATGGTATAAGATTGAGAATGATAGAAGAGAGGATGTACCAAAAACTTGCATTGGATGAAAATAAGGTTAAACTGTCATTAAGGTACATGCCGATGGTGGTTGGATGTGAGGAAGAGCAAAATATTTGTGATGATGAGGATTTGTTTGTTTACCTTATGACCATTAATAGAGCCGTAGAAGTCTTTTGTTTGTGGAGGAGACGAGCAGACCAGAGGAATTAGAGAAGATGTCGAGAGTGGGCCTAACTTTGTGTGGTATGAACTACCAAGTGTTGGAGGGAATTGATGATGAAATCGGACCTAAAACCATAACTTAGTAGGTAAAAGACGGACAAACAAATCAACAGTAGGATATGATAGAGGCAGAGAATGATGATGGTAAAACATGAGATGATTGTATGGATACGGACACCGTAATTGAGATGGACATCGCAGCTGAGACGGAGACCCCAGCTGAGACGGACACTGCAACTGAGACGGACACTGCAGTCTAGGTGGATACTATTGCTGATATGGACACTGATTTGACAGATAAGTATGTTGAACAGCCACCTGTAGAAAAGTGTAGTCAGGTTATAGAGGAATGGGAAGACGGTTTGAGTCTTAGTAAGCTTCAGAAATTTGCAAAAAAGAAAGCAATTCAAGAGATGGTTGATAGAGCTGCATTTGGTCTTAGCTTTCATTATGTTGTCTTGAAGTCGGATCGTAGATGGTTGGTGGTAAAATGTTTTGAAGCAAGCTGTAAATGGGGTTTGCGAGCTGCAAAGATTCCACATACCAAATTTGTTTCGGTTAGGAGGTACACAAGTGTGCATACATGCTCTCGAACCAGTCAAAGTAAAAGCAGCAACATCAAGAGGAAAGGCTCAGCGGAATTAGTTGCATCTTTTTTGAATGAGGAATATCCTGGACAAGTGAGAATTTCTCTTCCGAGAATATCATAAGTCTTCTAAAGTTAAGGCTTGGTGTAACAATATCCTATTCCACAGCCTTAAAAGGAAAAAATCTAGCTATTTCTCATTTGCGTGGTAGTTCGGAAGACAGTTACAAGTTGTTGTATAGCTACTTGTACATGTTAGAGCATGTCAATCTAGGAAAGAAAACAGGTGTGAAGTTGAATGAGACAAATAAGTTCAAGTACCTCTTCATAGCTTTAGGAGCTTGTATTGAAGGATTTGCGTTCATGAGGAAAGTGATAGTTGTGGATGCCACATTTTTGAAGAAAGGATATGGTGGTGTATAAGTTTTTGGCAAAGCGCAAGATCTTAATCGTCACCATTATCCCCTTGCGTTTGGTGAACTCGATGGTGAGAATAATGCTAGTTGGACTTGGTTTTTTGAGATGCTCAAAAGTATTATACCAGACTCTTATGTACTAGTTTTTATGAGCGATAGAAACTACAGCCTCATCACAACGGTAGCTAATGTGTTTCCACAAGCTCTCCATGGCCATTTTATATGGCATATGGCCCCAAATGTGTGAGGGCATGCTGCTAACACCAACAAATCCCTAGACGCATAGAAATTTATGGAGTTGGCTAAGTTCAATTCTGCTTACGAAGCCTTTAAAGTGAGATATCCTTCAGCGTACAAGTATGTGGAGGAGCATTGTGAGAAAGAGACATGGGCAAGGGTTTTGTTTCCAGGTGATAGATTCAACTTGGACACTAGCAACAGTGTGGAGTCAATGAACATCACTTTTAAGGATGCAAGGTGGTATGCCTTAATACCAATTTTAGATACAATCATCAAACAATTTTCTGAGTGGTTTGATGAACATCGGAAGGACGCTGTGTCTGGATCGATTGATACCGAACTGGATCCTCTTGTTGAGATTCACTTGCACAAGCTCTGGGGCATAGCTGAGAAACACCAGTGCATGAACTAAATAGTTATGAGCTTGAATATGAGGTAACCGACAAAGAAGATGGGAAGACTTATTTGGTGACTTGATAGTGAAGAGTTGTACCTGCAAAGTGTATGACTATGAAAAGTATCCTTGTGTTCACGGACTATCTTCTTACTTATATTTCCTTGAGATTGATGCTGCTCCTGGTCGTCGACATGAAGTCCGAATAGAGTATCATGAGTTGTGCTCAAAATATTACTGGATGGAACTTTGGGCATTGGCTTATTACAAAACTCTTTATACTGTGCCTGACAGGTCTGATTGGAATGTACCAGATCACATGAAAGACAGATCATAACTCTGGATCGGCTCAAGAGGAAAGGAATGAAAAAGGATAAGAGGAATCCCTCAGTTGGAGAACGGCGTAAAAGGACGCAAAAACAAAAGGCGACCGAGGCAAAATTTCAATTTCAGTTGGTTGTTATTTGGAAGGGATCACAATCCTGCTGAATGAAACTACATCTTTCATTTGGTTTTTATTTCTCTTGATTTCATCCTTTGCGTTGTCTAATTATTGGTTTTCTCTTATGTAAAACTATGGAATTCTATGGTTTATTAGTATGTTCGGATATTATTTATGTTCATTCCATGATACCAATATTAATTAAATTAAATCAGTATTCAACTTTTGATTTATATACCACATATTCCAACTGAAAAAGCTTATTGAAAACAACTTTTAAAAAATCATAGTGAAAATAACATATCTAGTAAAAAATTCATCTTTCCATATTCTCTCTTACACACCATTGTATTTCCAAGAACAGTTTCTTAGTAAGACCAACTTATAAAAGAGCATTCTTTAAAAATCGTGATTGTAAACTATTATTGCTCTAATCACATACCCTTACATGTTAATGCAGAAAAATGAACTGTAAAACTAATTTTAACCAATTAAAATGATACGTAAAACTAGAATTATTTGAAATCATCGAAAGTAGAACTATGAAGAACATTAGTAAAACCATAAACTTATGTATAACTATGAGCAATTTTTTTGGAGAGAAAATAAAAAATATTTTGGCGCCTAAACAAAAAAACACAGAAAATTATAATTTTTTTTGGGTGAAAAAGTTGATTCTCTCTGTGCAGTTGTCTCTCTCTCTCTCATTCCCGAGTATTCTATCTCTCTATTCTATCCACTCACTCTCACCATTCACACACATCTCTTTTTCTTTCCACTTCGTCTATTCTCTTTCAATTTCACTATTTTCCTTTGCATCATGACTCACCCGTACGAAAAATACATGCATATGAAGCAGTTGAAGAAACACTACGACATGCTAAGGTTCATTGCCGATGCCCAGTATGGTATTCCACCCAATGCTAATGTGGGGGAGAAATCGTGTAGGATGCTTCTCCAAATCCAAAGTATCCATCAGATTTCAATACCTTACTTGGGAGAAGGTACTTCACCTGAAAGTCCTACAAGGTAATTCTTGTCGGTTATTTTTGACTTTGTCGTAATACTATGTGAAACTGCGTTATATTGGGTGAAATTAAGTGCGAGATACTGAGTCAAACTAGGTTATACTAAGGTGAAATTAAGTGTGAAATACTGAGTCAAATTAGGTTATACTAGGTGAAACTATGTGCAAAATACTGAATCAAACTAGGTTATACTAGGGTGAAACTATGTGCGAAATACTGAGTCAAACTAAGTTATACTGAGTGAAACTATATTGAACTTGTAGGACGATGCGATGCAGTTTCGTAAGCCATGGGTTTTTGGTGTTGAGGAATAAATTGGGCGCTTAAGGAGGAAGGTGGATGATATGGATGCAGAGATTGCAGAGCTCAAGAGCCTTATTACCCGTCCATGAGATTCTCGATTCTCACTTCTGGATTCTCAGTTCTTTGTCTTTGTTATCTTGATTTCGGTAAATACAAGTCTTTGTTTGTTAATACTTGTATGGGTTTATGTTTGAAAACTTATGTTATCTTATCTATCCCTTATGTTTCTGGTTTGTGTGAAGACATTGGCCTCAATAGTTGACGTTTATGAGCTCTTATGTTGAGGCTCTTATGTTGTATCTCTGTTTAGTTTTTTTTTAAACTTCTCTCTTAAATTTGTATACTTAAAAAGAGCACTTAAGAACCAAGATGCATAAACCTCCGAAACCACATAGGTCTAAATCCACAAAAGAATAACAAAAAAACCACATAGGTCACATAAATTTGTCTACTCAAAAAGAGCACCTAAGAACAACACCAAGATGCATAAACGAAACAAGTATTCACTTTTTTCTTCCATTTCGCTTCTCTCGCTTTTGATATTTAGGGTCACTGAGGAGATGCCTCCTTTCTGTTTCACTGCTTCCTTGACAAACTTCTATAGCGGGGCCAATCTCTTATGTAATTGGTCGATTTTCTTCTTAACTTTTCTTAGCATTTTCATCATTTTTAGGGTTTTCTTAATATTTCAAAGTTCAGTCGACTGCTCATCTACATTTTCATCATTTTTTCCTGGACCTTCAATCTCTACTGCCTCTTCTTCTCGCACGGCAACATCTTCTTCGAACATGTATTTAAAAAAGATTGAAAATCCTTCATCAGATGCTTATCCCAACTGTCCACATCTAGATCAGGCTGATCAACATCATCTTCGTCTTCCACAATTCTATCTAAGAGAGAATCTTCTTGTAGACTTTTGGTGGGGATGATGCTCTCAATATTCTATCAAAATTAAAATTAAAATTAATGTTAACCCTTAATTCTACTTTAGTATTACCTTAGCTCTACCTTAGTCTTTTTTTTGTAGCACTGGTTAATTATTCATTACAAATTATGAGAAATATTACATAGACGGTATTATAGCCGACAATTCTACCTGCTTTATGCGGATTCACGTCTGACTGCATCACCCTGAGCCAACCTATGAGATCCATTCATGACGGTACGTCTTGCGCCATGCTGAAGATCTCTTGTAAGTCTTTTCTCAAATCTGCATAATTCGCCATTCACCTTCTCCGGGAATTTAAACCCTCTTGGTGTAGAAACTGAATAGCCTCGGATTCGAACCTCAAACCTGGTGTAGAAGCCTTTAAACCTTAACCACTATGCTACTTTAGTATTACCTTAGTTCTATCTTAGTCTACCTCAGAAACAAATGAAAAACTTACAGTTTCCTTATCCAGCTCCTTATTTATCACTGAAAGTGACACCCCTTTCATTTTGAATGTATACTTGCACATCCTCGGACAATACACATCAGCTCCTTGAACATCTTCTCTGAACCGCTTTCCAAGCTTAGGAATTGCCTCGAATGCAAGAATCTACAAAACACAATATTAGAATATTTTTTTAAGAAACCAACATTTTAAGGAAACACAACTTTAATGTCATTTTTTTTTTTTTGCTTACCTTGAGTGGAACACATAAACCTAGAGGAGGCCATATTATATTATCTTTCACCACCCTCCAAAATGATCCATGGTGTGAGATATTTCCTTTAACATGTAATCAAAAGAATACTTCCCCAAGGAAAGGTCATGCAGAAGTCATCAAGATCATCCACAGCTCTCTGGAACAATCCAATACATTTTTTCCGCCTTTCCAACCTTCGTTTGCGCGCAAATACCACTTCCTAAGAAGAATAGAACCGTCATCTTCAGTCTGTCCCTATGGGGTCCCATGTTCACCAGCTTCGCTTTCACTTCTTCTAACCTTATAGATTCTCTGTCCTTAAAATGTCGATCTACAAACTTTGTCCCACCACACTCCTTGTAGTCAAGAGGATAGTTGTGACAGTATAGCCCTGATATCAGTGCGTGTTCTCTCAGTCCATAACGGATGGGAACACCGTTGATAATGAACCACACTTCTTTCTCCTTACTAGTGTCCGTAGTCCTCAGCAACAACATCCACATTCCCTGAACCTTGTGTTTCTTCTCTCTTTTCATGTTGAAAATGTGGCAGAATTGAGGATGCTTCTCAAACCAGCTCCACTCCACGTTAGAAAACTTTGGTTTCAGATTGCTCAGCGTTTCAATCACGTCTGCTACCCAACACCTTGTCCCTAGCTTTATTTTTTTCGTGTACTCAGATGGACTAAAGAACATTTTAGTTGGTTTGATTTCCTTCGTTGCTTCATTATCCTGCAAGTAACATTCATTTCCAACCAAGTTAAGCAACTAATAATTCAAGACTCCAAATAGTTTTAACCTAAGTTTTTCAGTAATATCAAGTTGTCCGATGTTTTCCTAGTTTTCCACTATAATCTCATTGTTTCACCATGTTCTCCTAGTATTACACATAGTATTACTCTCTATTACATAGTTTTACCCAAAACAACTAAACATCAAATTATATTTCTAATTGGTTACTTCTTCTTGATGTATTTCAGTTGAATTTGGGCTCACTTCGATCGAGCCATCTTCTTGCACGTCTCCCATATCACCATCACCAGATCCATCTCCTTCTACATTGTTTGTTACTTCTTTCTCTCATGGCTCATCGACATTCTCTTCATCGGAGGCTTTCTCCTCTCCCTTGTTGTCTTCATCAGAGGCAGCTGACTCCGACTTCTCTTCATCGTTCTCAGCTTCATCCTCGGCATCATCATCCTTATGATCAGATTTGTTAAATTCAGAGGCATCTGTTGATTCAACCGCCGGCGCAACATCCACAAGTATATCAATTGCCTTTTCCGTGGTCGTATTCTTCATCGTCGTCTCCTCCACAGCCATCGCCTCCTCCACAGTCGTCGTCTTCTCCAGGGCTCTCGTCTTCTCCAGAGTCGTCATCTCTTCCGTAGCCGTCATCGATGATGAGCCTGTTGTTACAAACTTCACTCTCACGAATTTTGGCTTCTTCGTCTTTTATTCTCCCTCTGTTGGATTCTCCTTTCTTTTACCCCCCCCCCCTCACCTCGTTTCCACCATCTTTGAAAGATATGGATCCACTCTCCGATGAGCTACAATTCAATGAGATGAGATGATGTTTCTTGATTTTTGATTTGGAAGTGAGTCGGGAGAAGAAAGGAGGACTTGATTGAATTTGATTTTAGATTTTAGGAATTAAGATTTCAATTCGATTTTGTGAGAGATTTTGTTAGGGTTAGTTTCGGTTTGGGCTGAGAACGGGTTTGCTAAAACCGACAGATTTGGTATGATACTTAACTCGATTGATTAGATGGTTACACGATTTTGGTTTAGTTGATCTAGGTATAACTTGTAATTATGTGAACTCTTCACCGATTTTATATTTTTTACTTATTATTCGAATTTTAAATAATTCAGTTAAATTCTTTTCTAATGCTGTGTCTATGAGAGATTGTCTTTTGGCATTTGGAGATACCAGAGGAGATGTCTCTGGTTTATTTGGGGGTTTTTATTCGAATTCAACCCACCTCTCTATTTCCATTAAACCCATATCATCTTGTACATGATAGCTCGATGAGTGTGTACTTTTTAGTGAGTGACAAGTAACATACATCACCATTTCTTTTGCAAGAAATATATATATTCCCCTTTGCAAGAACTGAAAATGATAACACCTTTATAGTATCGTTTAGTATAACACACTCTTATCAAACAAAAAGTCTCACTGCTTAGGGTTGAAGCCATTTAAGATCTATAATATTAGAATAGAATCATAATTTTGAAAATAACGTTAGTCATACTATTATTCTATTAATACAAAAATATTATATGAAACTAACATTTGTCTATTGTATTATTTATGATTTATGTCATTAGAATTTTTAGATGTTTTGATTTTCACTAAGGATATTATATTAAATTTATTCTAATCAGTTTAGTCTTAAATATATCTAGGTGTTTTACCCGCACATACGGACATTATCCATATAAATACTGTTTTATCCATATTTATTTTATTAATTCAAAAACCAGCATGATAAGCTCTTAATTATTTTTTAAAATCAAACATCGATTATTCATATTTGACAAAGTCTTTCATCATTATATATGCGTATGTTTATTATTGTGTGATTAGTATTTAATAATAAAATTTTATATCTTAATTTTTAGCTTTTGTAATAGAAAAATATATTTCCAAATAGCAACACAATAAATAAGAATTATTTTCTTTTTAAATTCGTTTTTTATTTTATTTAATTTTTAATTTATAATCGTTATCTAATATATATAAATTTAATATATATAAATAAATATTAATAATATAAATTTGTTTTTAATTATATTATACAAGGGTATCACTGATTTTAACCGCTCTAATTTTTAACATGCGAGTTCAAACGCAAAAAATCACTTCGCAAATAATAGTATAAGTTATGCCAAATTCGCTATGGCTATTAAAATATTCTACGGTGCAACCAATCACCCATATTATAAAGTCTTAGCAATCTTGTATATTGAAAGCAAATCTCTTGATTATCGATATAAATGGTCTCGGACTCAAACTAGTTTGTTTATCTCGGATAATACATTTCCTTTCTTAACTTGTCTTGTAGTCTACATTTCCATGTATAGCAAATCATATGCAATAAGGTTCACTAATAAAAATCGTAGATTGGAGTGATCTTCCTTTTATGTATAACAAGTTTGTTCAATTAATTGAACATTTGGTACGTGTTGTAGCTATCAAATCAATTGAAACACTAGAATTAAGTCAAGTTAACAAGTGTCTAGTAAACTTAGTCTACTTTACAACGGCTGAATTTGGTTTTCATAATAACTTTCTATATCTTTCTAAGTCAACTACGTGTATATATATATATATTTTTTTTTACTCGTAGAAATTTTTTAAATTGTTTATTTCTATATTTCAAATAA